TAAAATTAAAGATGTTTTAAAAAAAAAATAGACAAAAAAAAATTTTTTTTAAATATTTTATTTCGTTTAATTTGATTGGTTAATTGACCGTTCCGAACGTCAGAGGCATCAATTATTGAATAAATGTAATATATTGAATATTCAAGCCAAAAAAATTGGCAGAGTCATGTGACCTTTAACATATGGCCATTTTGGCCATTTATTTTGGCTAATTGGCTAAATTGACCAATGTCCAAAAAATTAGCCTTGGCCATAGCCAAATGCCATCACTGATATAAAGTCACATAAAAAAAGTTTTATGTATTTTTGTAAAAATTGAGGCCGCTAGGTCACGAGAATCTAAAAAAAATTTTTTTGTTTAGCCTTACATGCATGTCCGTATAAGCGTAGAATATTTTCAGTTAGAGCTGAAACTATGCATGTGGTGTCGTTCACATTTCTGTCAATAATTTTGCTTAACACAATTTTGCAGTTTTTCAAATATTTATTTAACTATTTAAAAAAAATCAACGTGCGTAATTATAGAAAATGATTAAATTATTCTAATAAAGCTAGAAATTGATAATTTTTAATTTAATAATACAGTTATTTTTTAATTAATCGTATTTTTAACTTATAAATAAACAGTATTAAAGATATTTTTATGTTGATTAACGCTTCGGACGTTCATAACGGTTTTCGTTACTTAGTATATAAAACTAGAGTTAGCGATAGTCATCCCCCCGCTTAATAGTATTTATTATGTTAAATTCTGGAGTTGATTTAGCATTTTTTGGTGTTGATTAATTTGCGATTGATTTTGATTGTTAATAGTATTGTGCTATTTGTTTTGCATTTATTTATTACTTAATTATTTATTCATTAAACTCATTATCTAATTTTCCTTTGAGCTTTTTTCAAAGGTTTAGATCAATATAAAAAATACACAACAGGTGATGAGCATTAGAATAAATCTTTTTGATTGATTGAATAATAAAAGGTTCTGAATCAGTAAATATAACTTCAAAAGAATGTTTGTTTCAGTAATTATGGTATCAAATATCCATCGGTAAGTATCTAGTGTTTCATCATCAATAATAGCACATGCTATAATTCTAGACTTAAAGTTATTATCAACTACAGATATGATGCAAAGCATCATTTGAAATCAGTTCATATTATAGGTAATATCAATGATTATAACATCGTTGTATTTGCTATATAATTCTCTTTGTGTGGAAGACATTCATAAAAGAGAGCTTAATATCTTTGAAACAGGATCCAACTGAAGCTTTACAATCCAAAGTTGATCAGAATCCTTCCATTTCATTAACAGCTGAAGCATCTGGAAGGTATTTACGTCTCCTAGGTTATTTTTATACGAAATTAATAGATTGCATTGTACAAATCCCTCTTATATATAGGTTGATCAGAATAATTATGTTAAGTAAAGGATAGATAAATGTGAAGTTTATTCAACCTTTAATTGCATACTTTTTGATATTTGCTAGCATTTTGAGCATTAATTTACGAATTCGTGATGCTATTTTACGAATCATTAAATTAAGTGGATGATTATGTTTGTTATTGAAAGAGTTTATCTTAACAATATTATATGATTTCAGGTAAGTAACATTTAATTTCCAAAGGCATGACTACGTCTTTTAGTTGGATCAAAAGTCACTTATAAAGTATGTGAACCTTATTTGATATATTCATATGTAGCCCTTCACACTATACCTTCTACTTTCTCACTTATTCTGATTTTGTAATTAAATCCTTCTTTTAATGCAATTTACTAATACAACTCTTAAATTCGTTCCAGCTGGTGAAAGTTAGTCCAGAGATAAATTTTAAAGAATCTGTGAGTTCGTTTGATTTATCATCATCATCATTATTATTGTACAAAAAACCATCAAACAGATTTAGTCCATAATCCTATTAATAAACATAATACTATCTGATTAGAATGATTAGAAATTTCAACAAAATAGTAATACATTAAAAAAAAATGTACCAACTGACGTGATGAAGAAGTATAGGTATTTTGATTATTAAAAGATGTATCATTATAAGAAATATTTTCGCAGCTATCATTATAAGGAGTATCATGATTGTCATGATAAGGAATATTTTTGCAGTTATCACTATAATGGATATTTTTGCAATTGTAATCATAAGAATCATCAGGAATCCTTTCGCGATTGTTATCAAATAAAATATTATTATCAGACATTTTTTGAAGAACAAGAAGAAAATAAACAAAAGATATGAGTATATAATACAATCACAAAATATAATAATAAAATGTAACAATCGAGTAATTTCAAAATAATAAAAATGTAATACTTTATTTATTGATTTTCTGAACAATAGAATTTATTATTGTTACGTGATTAATAACACAAGTTTAAACATATCACGTAAAATTTGATATATTTATCACGTGATCAGCAATATGGTTTGAACACCTTGTGTAAACTTTGATATTTCTATAAAAATTGCTTTTAATTTTTATAAATTTTATTTTAATAATTACAAACTATATTTTTTAATAAAATATTCTATATATAATATAGTGTTACTAA